GGGAAATACAATGGAAATACAAGATCAAGAAGAAAAACAGAACACTATAAGAATGATGTAAGAGTTATGACTTAAAAAAAAATGCCCTAGGTATTTTTAAAACGATTTTGTGTATCAAACTGCTATGACATTTAGATCTCATTTAGATACATTTTTAAATGATATGACAGTTTTATTTAAAATGTCAATATTTATAAATTGCTGGAAATTATACTTTGCAAGAATCTAAATGTATGAAGAAAATCTGTAGGTATTAATGTAGAAACATGCAAAAGATTTCATAGTTTTTTAAGTTTTCAAAGCCATATTTCCCACACTGGGCTTTGAGGCACCCTGGGCCATTGTGATGAGCTCAGAGAGGCACAAGAAGGGATATTTTAACTTTCTGAAGAAAATACAGCAATACCTATTGGATATCTACTGTAAAGACGACTAACTCTAAAACAGTTCATCATTTCAACATTAGATCACCGTACAATCCTTTAGATAACATATTTTTGCAAAGCTGGTTTTTCAGTGGTTGCTATGACAAAAGCAAGTACCATAAAAAAACTAATGTGTAACAGGAAATGAGGGTGTAAGTGTCCAATCTGATTCCAAGGTTTGAGAAGTTGTGTAGTGTCCAATAGGCACACATTCACTAGAAAGTATAGTTATTTAAGAATGAAATAAAAATATTTTCTCTTTCAATGTATTTTTCAAATAACTACAAAGTTAAGATATTTATCAAACACTTTTTGAATTGTCTAGACCATTTAATTACTTAATAAAGCAAATTGTTAAGTATTTCTTTTGTCTAGTGCTAAAAAATTATCGAGACAACTAAGGTGCCATGAACTGGAGCTTTTGCTTTAAGAGAGTATGGAGCAAAAGTTTGATCACAAACCTTAGAAACTCCCCTTTAGTTATACTTGGGATTGCCAGCAGGTGGTGCCACCAAGATTGAGTTGGCTAGGGAAAAGGTCCTATTCCTTGTTCTCAAGGTCTAAAACACTCTAGAGTAAAGGAATGTTCTTGGACCAGAGAAGATATTATTAAAGAAAAAGGGACTTTTAGATCACTTACTCCAATACTTTTCAAACTTTTTAGAAAGGCAACAGAATCTCCTTTCAAGCAAAATCTTAAATAAAAGCAGGACCACTTCCTAAGTGGGCTAGAAGAGGCTGAAGCCCTACAATAGTGACCCTAAGCTCAGAAGAAGGTACCCTGAAAAACTCTGAAGCTCTAGGGAACACCTTAAGAAAATCACTCATCTAAATTTCTACTTCACAGAGTAAACCAAGGCTCATAAAGATCTGATATCACATGGGCAGTTAGTCGCAGAGCTGGTTCTAGAATCTAAGACTCTCAACAGATCTGAAAAGGTAGACCAAATCTTCCATTTCATCCTGCTGATCCTGAAGCCAGAAGGATAAGGGCTCTGCTCCTGTGAGACCTTGGGCAAATCACTTCATATTGAGAATTTTGGTTTCCTTTTCTATAAAATGGAGAATTAATATTTATTTCACAGATTAAATAACAGGATGAGAAATACTCAGTAAACTATAAGAAGATATGGAATTATTTTATTCTGGTTAGGTCTGAATCAAAGAAACAAAGGCTAGAATAGCAGAAAGTAATGGGGAAAGGATAAAGATTTGGGAGAAAATAGGTTTGTGAGTATTGTGACCTAAAATTAAATGAACTTTTGATTTACTGCCAAGTACTTTCGACTAATAGTTTGGTCCTGGGGGGAGCAGGGCACAGACTTTCTGGTGACCTTCTAAGTGACATTCCCTATTAACCTCATCATTTCCCATTCTTGGCATCCCTCACCTTGCAAAGCCAACCCCTCTGCTGGTCCCACTGGTGTCTCGAAGGATTCTAGTGGAAATAACCTGGCCAAAGGGCTTCAGCATTCCCTCCAGTTCTTGCTCATCCATTGACAGTGGGAGGTTTGAGATGTATAAATTTGTGGGGTCCTGCTCCTGTTGCTATGGAAATAAAAGTGAAAAAATGAATTTCATATCTCTTAACCCTCTCCCATCCTCAGTGGGCAGCCACAAAATGACATCTCAGAAAAGAGAGAGCAGGGAGGCATGCACATAAACAAAGAGAATCTTAACGATTTGTAACACCTAGTCCCACTATCAAAAAACCCCACAGATTTAATATTTCTAGTACTGTACAAGCCCACAATACAAGCCATCAATGAAGTTTTTGGCTGTCTCTTTAAGAACTAGGCAGAGCAGCGCTCTTCTCTCCTATCCAACAGCCCAACAGCCTGTCCCAGAGGCTGGATTCTCTTGGACTGCCTTTGCTTCCCGGGCTGCATTGTTCTGGGTAATCCCCCCACTCCACTCTTCCAGCCACAGCAGACTCCTCTTAGTAGGAATGTCTGTACACTCTCTGATGGAGGGAAAGCAGGAGGAGGAGAGAAGGGAAAAGGGAAGCCAATGTGCTGGGGGTTGCACTACGAGCCAGATGTATAGCTCACTGGGTCACCACGGAGCCCTGAAAGTTCTAGTCTCACAGGAAGTCTAAAGTCACTCTAATGTCAGAGGGCTTTTCTCAAGAAGAGGTGGGAGAGGGCCTCCCTGGTGGCGCAGTGGTTAAGAATCCGCCTGCCAATGCAGGGGACACGGATTCGAGCCCTGGTCGGGGACGATCCCACATGCCGCAGAGCAACGAAGCCCGTGCGCCACAACTACTGAACCTGTGCTCTAGGGCCCGGAAGCCACAACTACTGAAGCCCGCGTGCCTAGAGCCCATGCTCCGCAACAAGAGAAGCCACTGAAATGCGTAGCTCATGCACCGCAACAAACAGTAGCCCCCGCTCAACACAACTAGAGAAAGCCCGCGCAGCAACGAAGACCCAATGCAGCCATAACTAAATAACTAAATAACTAAATAAATAAATTAAAAAGCACTGCAGATAGCCCTTGCCCATCAACCGCATGGCTCTTAAACCTCTGGAAGCCTTTGGTACTAACTACAACCCTTCAGAGGAATAGACACGGGGTAGTACCCTTACCTTTGCCATCTGTGCTTGCACACCACTGGCTTTCAGTGCTGTTACAGCTTTCTGTGCTGCTGAAGGACTGTCAAAGTCCACAAAGCCATAGCCTGGAACAGGGAAACAGCATCACTGGGAGGTGGGGGGTGTGAGGGAGGTAGGAGGCCCAGGCTTTTCAGGAAACAGAGGAGGAGTTATGATCCACGCAATAGCAGTGGTAGGGAGGAAGAGAAATGAAGAGGTTTCAGGTGGTTATCCACGTGCTCCTCAAACCCTGTGAGATTTGGTCTACTTTATAGCTAAGAATGCCAAGGGCAATGAGGTCTTTATGGTATCCTTGCCTTCCTCCTTCTCCCCTAAGAAATCCTAGGTTTCAAAAATTAGGCTCCTCTAATAATTCACAGCCCCCTCTATTTCCAAAAGAACTCCCTTCTCTTTTCTAGGCACACCCGCAGAAATGCTAGGCATGTAGGAAATACAGCCTCTCCACAGCAGATAATCAGCCACCTGCTGGAAGAAGCCCCTCCTCACCCCAATGTACAGCTCTTTCCCCTCCTTCCACTCTTCCATCCCCACCTAGAATTGCTCAAAACCCCAACAAACCCAACCCACCTCCACAAACAAAAGGCATTTACAATGCTTTGCTAAGTAGAAATAAACTCACCTATAAATGAATATCTACCATCCAATCCAGGGAAACATGACACCCAAAGTAGGCCCAGGGGACTCAAAGGCACTCTGTGCAGGCTTCTAGCCTTGGGTCCCCAAAACAGCATTTTCAGCTCTAGCTATCTGGTCACAAAGAATCTAAATACCTACTAGTCTTTTAAGCCTGAAAACCCTGAAGACTCCTCCCTGGCACTGGAAACCAGGGACTTGCAGCAATAAAGGGCAAAGGCAAGGGATGGCCTCACTTATAGCTGTTCTCCACCACCAAGAGCAGCTGTTCTCTTACCTTTGCATTTGTTTGTGGTCTTGTCCAGTATGGCCTTAGTGGAGACAATCTTGCCATATCTAAGGGAGAAGAAAATGCAAAGTGATAATCTGGGGACAGGGATTTAGACTAGGACAGAGATTGAGACATCTAGATGAATCCATGCCCTGTCTTCACTCCCACTAGGAAAACTGTCCCTACTCAAACCTTAGAACAAAGAAGAAATGAATTTAAAACGTCACACTTATCATATAAACCTATTCCCCAAAGGCACCTACAAGAAATAAGGTAACTGCAGTCCCTACACTATCAACACATTTCTCTCTTCCTCCCCAAATAAGACTCAGATACTAGTTAGAAGAAGACTACTGTCTTTTTTTGGGAAAGAAGCTTGGTGGTGTCCACATAGCAGTGTGTAAGCCCAGAGCTCTGGCTAGAATTCCTTGAGGACTAAAAATAATCCTTGATGTTATTTATCTTCCTTTGAACAAACACCATTCCTCCCATGAAAAACTGTTTCTCTTCTCTGACACCCCACTCTTCACCCTTTTACTGGCCCCCTGAGTGAAGGTCAACTTGAGCCAAACTGCTTTTGTTCAAATCCTGGTTCTGCCACTTTATAGCTATGTGTGATCTTGGACAAGTCATTTAACCTTTCTGTGCCTCAGTCTCACCATCTGGAGAATGGAGATAGGATTGTTGGAAATATGAAATGAACTCATGAATATAAAGTACTAATGTCTATCAAATGGTAAACACCTGAACACTCTTAACTGCTATTATTATTATTATTATATGTTATATTATATTATTATTATATTCATGGGACCTCAACATTTAACCAAATGGCTCTTTCCTGCTTTAATCTCTAAGACTTCTATTTCTTTTCTTTTTTTTTTTTGGCTGCACCTCACAGCTTATGAGGTTTTAGTTCCCCAACCAGGGATCAAACCCAGGGCCCCAGCAGTGAAAGCACCGAGTCCTGACCACTGGACTGCCAAGGAATTCCCTGATTTCTATTTCTTATGTCAAGATTTCAGTGTATTAGGGAGGGGAGTGGGCATAAAAGCAAATGCAACAGCTGTGTTAAGAAAATTATCCAAAACTTGACGATAAGGCAAAATGAGGATTGCACATTCTTTCAATGTCATTCTGGAACACTGTCTACAAGGCCCATTCAAAGTATATTCTGTTATCTAGGGGGATGTTTCTTTGTTTCAGTTACTATTTATTACTGATGAGGGCCCAGATTTTGTGAAGATACATATTAATTTGTAGATTTTTATCTAGTAGAAATACAAATAATTTCTGTCCATTAGAAAAGATGATCCTAAAGGTTACGTTTTATAGTCCTATAGGGTATGAACCAGTTTCCTCTGTAACCTAGTAATCTTATTCCAACATTCTTTCTTCAGTCCCTCAAATACTCTTTGAACCCATTTTACCATCCTGCTAGTTCCCTCACTAATGAGTAAAATAAATATTTGGCATGTGTTCACCTATATCTGTAGCAGAGTTATGTTTTTCAACTTTCTGAAAATTATACTTTGGCAGCAGATTCATGTGGAGTTCCCCAAACTTGAGCAGTGGAGTATCTATCACAGTCAGGGATTATATTAGAAGTGTTCTACTATAAAGAAGTCTCTACATTCCACCCCAGGAGGGTGAAAATATTAGAGAGACAAAACAGAAATCACTAACAAAGTCAGAAGTATAAAATTTAACTGAAAACAGTTGGCAGGGACTGAATTTGAGATGAATACCTGAAACAAGCATTTTTTTCTACTTTTCCTCTCATCCCATCCCTAAAGAACATATGATGATTGATGTATTTGTTTTGCTCCTTGGCAGCCTCTCACTGACTGTTGTAGTGGAGCTCTGCGACCCACTGGATTAGACAGAATAAGCCAAGCGATGCCCTGGAGGCTAGAATGGATGTGGTGAACCTAACCCTTCAGGGCTGCATACTTGGATTCTTTCCCAAATTTAGGAAAGGAAGGGATGCAAGAGACTGTAAGCCAGAGGACACACATGCTGCTATCCCTATCGAGGCCCCAGGGTGGAGCTTGCTGTGGTCTGAGCAGCCTGAGACTTAAAGTCAGAATTTCCTCTTCAGCTGGCAACAGCTGGATCATGCAGCTTCCTCCTCCGAAGGAGCCCCCCCAAGAGAACCAGGAGTTCCAGTTCCAGACTCCACGCCTCTCCTTCCTGCCCACCAGGGCTTAGGATCCAGCAACATTTACTTCCCGTACAACCTAGAGAGATAACTTGGACAAAGGCAGGAAGTCCTATGCATGGGAAACACCCTTCACAGAAAGGTGTCCCTCCCAGCTCACACACCCATGAGGATTCCACCCACCAGTTCTTCACAGCTTCCCTTTCATCATAACTCATCTAGCACCTATTCTTTCCCTTCGTCATTCCTACTTCTCTATGGTCCCCAACTGGGCTCCTTACTTCCATCTTATTGTACATGCTGACCCTGACTATTCTCATCCCTTCAGACATAGCAGAAGGTAAGGCAACTTGGGAAGGGCAAAATGAAAGTCTAAAAGTATAGTGAAGTAGAACTGAGTATTTTCTCTGTCTTGTGGAGTGAGAGGATTGATTTTTGCAGCACATTATATTTAGTACAAAAAATACAGGGTGGGGCTTCCCTGGTGGCGCAGTGGTTGAGAGTCCACCTGCCGATGCAGGGGATGCGGGTTTGTGCCCCGGTCAGGGAAGATCCCACGTGCCGCGGAGCGGCTGGGCCCGTGAGCCATGGCTGCTGAGCCTGCGTGTCCAGAGCCTGTGCTCCGCAACGGGAGAGGCCACAACAGTGAGAGGCCCGCGTACCACAAAAAAAATTAAAAAAATAAAAAAAGAAATACAGGGTGCAGAAATCAAGGAACTAGATTGATATGATACTCTTTTCCCTCATAAACCAACATTTTTGCCAATTCCCATTCCCTCAAAAAAATTACTAGTCCTAGACTAAGTTCCCTAAGTTCCATTTAAATACCATTCTAAAGCAAGGTAAGCCGAGGTAATAGATTCAGATTTTATACACACATCTAGCCTTTAGAGACTGATTTTGTGCAGCCTGATGCTAGCAAACTTCCAAAAACCACTACGTCAGTAGAGTAAGGGATTTATAGAGTACCTCTGATGCCTCATACAACTACATTTTTGAGGGGAGAATGTTCTGCCTCTTCAGGATTTGGAACAGCTGCCACATACTCATACTGTTATGGGAGTTTGAGTTACTTTGACCACTTTAGAAAATTGTTTACTAGTATCTACAAAAGCTGAACAAATGTATATCCTATGATTTAGCAATTTTACTCCTAGGTATATACCCAACATAAATGTATATACTTATACACATGCACCAAAAGACATGTACAAGTTCATAGCAGCACTATCCGTATCCATAACAGTCACATACTGGAAACAACTCAAATGTCCAGCAACAGCAGAACAAGTAAATAAGTTGTGGTATATTCCTATGATGGAATTCTATGAAGCAATACGAATGAAAAAATTTTTGCTATATGCAACAATGTGGATGAATCTCACAAACAACATTGAACAAAAGAAACCAGACATAAAACGGTATGTGCTATATCATTATATTTATATGAGGTTTAAACAAGCCACATCAATCGTTTAGAAGCCGAACAGTAGATACCTTTGGGGGTGGGGGAGAGACTGTCACTAGGAGGTGGGCTTCTGAAGAGCTGGTAATGCTCTATTTCTTGATCTGGTTACCAGGGACTGTTACAAGGATGTGTTCACCTTGTGAAAATTCACTGTTCTATAAACACTTCTGATTTGTGCACTTTTCTGTATGCTTGTTATACTTCAATAGAGTTTTAAAAGATGGTAAATTTACACAGACTAAGTTTCCTATTTTTATTTCTTTCTAAACTCGATTTCCCCTTCCCCATTAATATTACCATCCCACCAGACTTCTGCCTCTAATCCGTCCCCCATATAAATGATTTGAAACACATATATTTCTGCCAAATGGAATTGAGCTGGCCTCTCTGCATTCTTGCAATTTTTCCAGCTTTCCTAATTGGGCTAATTCCATGGTAGTTGTCTCCACCTCATGACTCAAATCTATGCTGAAGAAACCCCAAAGATCTTTAGGAGGTAGATGCCAAGTGACAACTCTTTCTCCATTTTCTTCTTTATCCACTAATTTGAGGGCTCCTCTGGGTCACTAAGAATAACTCTAGCAGCAGAAACTCTCCTAAGTGTATAATTCGATTGGCTAGTCCCACTTTCTTCTATCCCTACTGCTGGTTTTCACTATCTACTAATCAATATCTTTAGAGATACTGAGCATTTCTATTCAAGGTGTAAGGATAGGAATATTTCCACTAAGACCATCAGTTCTGGGTACATGCTGGAAACAAAGTCATATACTAACTAGGCTTCAAAGGTCAGCCCTATCCAGCTTTCCTCAGAGAAACACATAAAAGTTTTATATATTGGTAGTAGGTAGAATTTCTCTAAGAGGGGCTGCTGAGAAACCTTGCAACTATAGGGGTAGAAGCAAAATATTGATAATATTGCATTTCAGGATAAGAGTATCTGGTAAGAAGCCAGTATCACCAAATCTGTACTGTCCCTGGAGACCTACCCCTATGTACCCCAACTTACGACTGACACAACTTGACTAGGTCCTGGTCGGTAGTGCTTGGCTGCAATCCCCGGATGTAGAGGTTGGTTTTACTCAGCTGGTCATTTACAGTGCTCCCACTGCTGCTGTTAGGGGTACTGTTGCTTGGACTAGGTGGTGCCATTGGCTGAGACAATGACACATATGGCTGCAGGGAGACATGAAGAACAGAAGGTCAGAAGAATTATACATTTAGATGCTGAAGAGTGAGGAAGATCTTGGCCCCTTGGAAAGAATGATTCCAAACTTTAACAGCAATGAAGTCATCAAAAGAGTTAAAAGGGCTTCCCTGGTGGCACAGTGGTTAAGAATCCGCCTGCCAATGCAGGAGACACAGGTTCGAGCCCACATGCTGTGGAGCAACTAAGCCTGTGCGCCACAACTACTGAGCCTGCGCTGTAGAGCCCATGAGCCACAACTACTGAGCCTGCATGCCACAACTAATGAAGCCCATGTGCCTAGAGCCCATGCTCTGCAACAAGCGAAGCCACCGCAATGAGAAGCCTGTGCACTGCAACAAAGAGTAGCCCCCGCTCGCCGCAACTAGAGAAAAGCCCTCACGCAGCAACAAAGACCCAATGCAGCCCTTAATTAATTACTTAATTAATTTTTTAAAAAGAGAGTTAAAAAAGAAGCCTAAAGGAATTCCTCTCTGCCATAAAATAAGAAAATATTTAACTGTCCTAACTTTCAGGGGAAATGAGAGGCCAAAATAAGCTTGATAAAGGTTTTGAAAAAAGGTACTTAGTTATAGAGGAATGTTTTTATCATACAGATGCTGGAGACACAATTAATGTATGCCTCTTAAGTAAACTGTGTAATGAGACAAGACTAATAAAACCTAGGTTCCATTCAAAAATCACAGAGGAACTAATAAAAATTTATTAAATGATGAAGGTATAGAAAAGTTGAACATAGATTATTCATAAAACTGTAGAATATGAGACTGCAAAATACCTGCAGGAGCTTGAAAATTATTATAAGATTAGACAAACAAAATGAAATACTAATTACCATGCCAGGTAGTAAAAAATGAAATTTGTTACTATGCTGATAGGGGTTTAGTCATAAGTTATTTACAAGTTTTTAAAAGTTTAAATATGAATGAATAATAGATAAAGTATGGTTAAGGAAATCCAGCATTTGGGGTGAAACATCTGTAATTTTTCACTACTGATACCAGGACAGGCAACCAGACTCTGCTACATTTCGGGGCCCCTTCTGTAGGGGGGTACTTCTGTTAGAGAAAAATTACCAGGTTGACTGGAACATGGATCCATTTCTTTCATGGCATATTTTACACCCTTATGCTCTAATCAGGCTTCTAGTGTATATACATATATATGGTTCATAATCCTCTAAATTTGATAATTACCTATAATATAGTGCATTTTACTATATCATACTCATATTCCAGTTCTCCCTTGGCTTAAAGCACTGTATAGTATAAATCTGTTTGGAAATACTTCCCTATAAAATACTAGTTGCATCTCCAGGTTTTCCCCCTCTCTCTCTTCTTTGGTAGTGGTGGTAAGGGATTAGAGTGGTAACAGAAGAAAAAGGGAAATCTTCCCCCCAAAGAATCTTAATGTGAAATGTGCCTCTTACATTTCATGCCTCTGACCTTTAGCAAACTTTAAAATAAAAATCTTTGCTCAAGCTAAATACGTTGAAGCAAGTATTTACCTATTTCTGTCACTATACATAATCACAAATGTGTACCCACTTGCAAATACACAGTTCATTCCTCAGCTTTATACTGCAGCAAAGAAGAAACCCAATACCACATTCTGGAATGGCCCAAAGCCTCACGACCTATTGTAGCTCTTGATACACCCTTTATATTTCCTATCCTTATCCCCCTCTCTTTGCCAGCACTTACACTAGGATTTTCCATATAGAATAATCCATGTGCCAGAAGAATATGAATTATTCCTCTGTGGTGGTAGTGATAGTCGACAAGTGCAGGGTAGGGCACATACATGTTTTTCAGCAACTTTGAGACAACAAGACAAAAACAGGGCAAATAAACCTAAAAGTCATACATCCAGTGCTAGAAATGGCAGTACATACTTTAAGAATGATGTTGAAATCTCCACTGAATTAGTAGACATGTAATAATAATCAAATACTAGTGGTCTAGGCCCCCTCCATTATCACTACTGTTGTAAGTGCACCATCTGATTTAAAGTAGAGGCAAGAAGGGACTTCCCTTGTGGTTCAGTGGCTAAGACTCTATGCTCCCAATGCAGGGGGCCCGGGTTCAATCCCCAGTCAGGGAACTAGATCCCACATCCTGAAACTAAGAGTTCACACGTCACAACTAAAGATCCCGCATGCCGCAACTAAAAAGATCCCACACACCGCAACGAAGATCCCGCATGCAGCAACAAAGATCCCACATGCCACACTAAGACTGGGCGCAGCCAAATAAATAAATAAATATTTTTTAAAAATAATAATAAAGTAGAGGCAAAGAAGATTATCAACTATATTCTAATCATGGCTGTTCCTGAGTTCAGAATAAGATCACTGCTGGAGATCATTCACTAAGATATGCCTTTCCTCATCCTAAGGAATTGCCATTATTGATCCTTAGCTGAGAAAGCCAAGCTTCTTCTAATATGAGAGTCTAGGGAATTCCCTGGTGGTCCAGTGGTTAGGACTCGGCGCTTCCACTGCTGGGGCCTGGGTTCAGTCTCTGGTTTTGGGAACTAAGATACTGCGAGCCGCATGGTGTGCCACACCCCCACCCCGCCCCTAAATAAATAAATAAATAAATAAATAAGAGATTCTAAGCCTGGGGGTGATGATGATGCCAACAGTAACAATGATAGCAGAAGCAACTCTAGCAGCATATCATGTGCCAAGCACTGGCAGATGAGATCACCTGCCTCAGCTAGAGTTCATCTACCCCCTTTCCCAATGTGAGAGAATATTCCTAAGAGGAAGTTATCAATGATGCTACGACTGTCCAAATAAGAACACAAGGGTTACTGAGGAAAGAAATAAATTGAAAAGAAGCTTTTGGTTTACTACCATGGTTATACCCTTGGTTTTAACACTAATGTCTTAGTTATAATCTAAAAATACGTCTTAGTCAGTGATAAACTTGCTGCAAGGCCAGAAAAATTCCTAGAAAAAAAGATGTAGTTCAGAAAATAAAAACCCAAAACTTTTCTCTTTTGCTATTCCCAAACAGCTGCTGAAACTACTATATAGTCTCCAAAGAGAAATAATAGAAAAATATTCTCTTTTCAAGAGAATTCAATGAAAAAGGTCAAGAAAGCCTCTAAGTAAAGCTTATCTGGCTTCCCGAAAGAAACTATTTGGAGAGACAATAATAACTAATGTAAACTAATGATCCTTGTTTACCTATGTACATAAAAGAGAACAGGGCAGTATATATGAGAGTCCAGAGGACTGAGATATTCTTACTGGGCGAGAGAAGGGTGGGGCAGTATTGTCTCTCTTGACTCCTATTGGTCTGTAATGGTTCTCTGAGGCCACTGGTTCTCTGAGCCTAAGCTAAAAAATGAAGAGCAAGATTTGAACTATTTAAAACAAGGCCCTCATATTTGTCCTAGAATCTTAGACACCTAGGATGGTATTAAATTTGCCTTCAGAAAGAAAGGATGGTAGCATATTATCATGTAGCAAAGAAATATGTAAAGTTATCCAGTAGAAAAGGTAGGTATGAGTCTTTTTTTTTTTAATATTTATTTATTTATTTGGCTGCGTCGGGTCTTAGCTGCAGCACGTGGGCTCTTCCTTGTGGCGCTCGGACTTCTCTAATAGTGGTGCGTGGGCTTCTCTCTAGTTGTGGTGGGCGGGTTCCAGAGCTCGAGGGCTCTGTAGTTGCAGCATGGGGGCTTAGCTGCCCCGCGGCATGTGGGATCTTAGCTCCCTGACTGGGATCAAACCCGCGTCCCCTGCATTGCAAGGTGGATTCTTAACCACTGGACCACTAGGGAAGTCCCTAGGTATGAGTCTTCTCATGAAGGAGATTTAATTCTGACTGGGAGACATTAACAGGTTTATAAGCTGAGAAATGACATGATAACATATATTTGAGAAAGCTAACACTTAGGTGCATTATCCCAGCTGGTTCAGAAGGGTAGAAGACCAGAGGTGGTAAGACTAGTTAGGAGATATTAGACATGAAGGGAGGTCAGGAAAAAGTATAGAAGTTAAATTCAGACTGGCAGGATTTGAAGTTATCTGCTTGATGGATATATGCTGAATGCTTTTAGAATAAATACTGGTTAATTTATTCAGTTAGTAAACATTTAAATACCTTTAAAATACTATACAGGGAAGGCGTGAAAAGCCTGGTAGTTAGCATGGAAGAGCCTGGAAGTTTGATTTCTTAGCTAAAAGTTAACACACCACCTTAGAAATATAGGCTTATAAAGGAGGTATTAATGCTTTTAGAAAGTTCTAGTATTGCACTACTTCTTTGGGAAGTGGAGTAAACTCAGTTATGATAGCTAAAGGTGGGAAGCAATCTCAGGGTGAGGACTTTTTGGCTTTGGATCTTCCAGTGAAACCCAGATGCCTATGGGCAATGCGTTACCAAGGCAGAACAGGGAACACTGGATTGCAAAGACGAATTGACGGAATGCAAAGCTAGGGAACACCAAATTTGAGGTTGGTTGGAGACTAGAATCTATCAATAAAAGGTGTGTGAGAACACTAGCAGGGGGAGGACTTGGCTGTTTCCTAGAAGGGCCACTCCCCTTGCATAGTAAACAGCCATATATAAAAGCTGAAAGAAGGCAAAGAAAGGTAGGACAAATGAGTTAATGGATATAAAGTACTTAACGTGGTGTTTGGCACACAGCAAGTATAAACTGTCAGTAACTGTCATTATTTTAAAATTTGGAGTCTTTTAAAAAATGGAGTTCTTCTATAATTAAAGGACAAAATTCTCCTTCCTTTGCAGAATATGGATAACTCACCCAAGTTGAGCTGTTATTTGTCTGCAGAGACTTGATGCTTCCCCAGCAGTTCTTTTTTTTTTTTTAATTTTTATTTATTTATTTACTGGCTGCACTGGGTCTTCATTGCTGCGTGTGGGCTTTCTCTAGTTGCAGCGAGTGGGGGCTACTCTTCATTGCGGTGTGGGCTTCTCATTGCGGTGGCTTC